TGATCTTCAAGTCATATGGAAAGAAATATACGTTAACCCGAATTTACCACACTCGCAAAATCGCACACAGCCAACCATACACCCAGTATGGTATCGCGATTCGCGATTTTGCGCTATCATACTGGGTGTATGGTCGGCTGTGTGCGATTTTGCGAGTGTGGTAAAATCGCATAACAGCAAAATCGCATAACAGCCGAGAATACACCCAGCAGCGCTGCTGATGCCTGAACGGTATGTGGAATGAAGTGGGCGGGCATCGGGAGGCCACTATGGCACGGGGCAAGCACTATGGGCAGTCTATCTGAAGTGTACCTGGCGTATAAGACGACCCCCCACTTGGAGGCATATTTTTCAGGGCCAAAAAATCGTCTTATACGCCGGCAAATACGGTATGTCTACTTCTCCTTCAAACTGGCAGGTCCTCTGAAGTCTCTCAGTCATTCCTTGTTTTTTTTTCTGACATTGATATTTTGAAGTATTTCATATTTATGTTTTTAGAATGATCATCAATTTGCTTTTGTTATATGTTTTCTCCTTTTTTGAGAATGATGTTGATATGTCTTATTACTGGTGATATTAATCTAACCCTGTGGTGTCTGCCAGATTTTACCTCTGTAGAGATAGTATCTTTCCCTTTGTAATTAATATTTTGAGAATAGCTGCAGGCACCGGCTTCCCTCCAGCACCCGGAATCCAGGCTTCCCTCCTCCGGCCACCTGCAGGCAACCGGGACCTGGGCTGCTTCCCTCCTCGGATGCCCATAGGCACCCGGGACCCAGGCTGGCTTCCCTCCAGCCCTGGCTTTGTCAGGAAGGATGTCTTGAATGACATCTGGTCTAATTAGCATATTACCCTTTTATATACTAGTAGCCCTGCACATGAATCCGTGTGCCAGTAGCTTGTTGCTGCCCTCCTGTAGCTCCCACTGCCCTTCCTCCCTCCCCTCATAGCTTGCTGCCCTGCCCCCTCCTGTAGCTCTCCGCCACCCGCTTGTAGCTCACTGCCCCACCCTCCTGCTGATCCGGTTGTTAAGCGGTCGGTTGTAACATAAGGACCATTTGCATATTAGATCTTTATTATATAGATAGATAGATAGATAGATAGATAAAATGTTGTTAATTCTCACCCAAGGATATTTTTTCCCATTGATTTTTAGAGAAAGTAGAAGGAAGGGAGGCGGGAGAAATAGCTTGTAGCTCACTGCCCCACCCTCCTGCTGATCCGGTTGTTAAGCGGTCGGTTGTAACATAAGGACCATTTGCATATTAGATCTTTATTATATAGATAGATAGATAGATAGATAGATAAAATGTTGTTAATTCTCACCCAAGGATATTTTTTCCCATTGATTTTTAGAGAAAATAGAAGGAAGGGAGGCGGGAGAAATATTGATGTGAGAGAGACCCATCAACTGGCCCCCTCCCTCACCCGCCTCATTGGCCCAGAATGGGGATCAGACCTGCAACCCAGGTGCAACCCTTTGTGCACAGGCTGGTGCTCTAACCACTGAACACACTGGCCAAATCTCAAAGTGAAGATACTTTGAGGTTTTGCATAGAAATATCCTCTTTGTCCCTACCTTTCACCAGTCAATTAGCATTCTTTGGTGGATCTTGCCTGCAGTGACGATTTCTGTAATGGTTTAATGGTGACTTTGATTTCTGTTATTCCTTCTACATTTATTAACTGGAATTCTTTGTGAGGAAGGGTTGTGCCTTCATCCCCTTTTGTTTATTTGTTCAATGAAGTTATATCATTGTGGGACATTAGATGTGTAATTTTTTCTTTGGCTTATAGTGCAGCGTTGTTGTTCATTTTGTTTTTTAATCTGTTCCCACTTTGGCCATTGAGAGCTCTTTCAAGTTGCCTGTTTCTCCCCTGAGGTGTCCCCATCCTTTTCTACGTTTGCCTGATTTTCTGGCATCACAAACCACTCAACTTGTATCTTCTCTACTGTGGCCTGGCATCAACCACTTTCCCCCAAGGACTCTGGTTCTGTTTATTAGAGAAAGAATGGTCAAGTTTGGGGAAGTAGGTTTGAGCATCTTTCTTCCTTTCTTTTTTCATTTTTAAATGTTTTTATTGGTTTTAGAGAACGAGGAGGTGAGAGGGAGAAAGAGCAATAGAAACATCAATGATGAGAGAGAATCATTGATCGGCTGCTTCCTGCATGCTCCCCACTGGGGATTGAACCCACAACCCGGGCCTGTGCCCTGACCGGGAATCGAACCCTGACCTCCTGGTTCATAAGTCAACACTCAACCACTGAGCCACCCTGGACAGGCTTTCTTAATTTTTATACACGTGCAGGATTAGCTCTTACCAGTCCAGTGCTCCTGGGTCTATAGGATTCCCACTCCTAGAGCTTTGCTCTCCCCTTGTGACCTTTGCCTCAGCATTTCTGAACCCATGGCTTTTCAAAATCTTGTCATTGTCCTGTCAAACCAGAATCGCTTCTTTTTGCTACTTTTTTCTAATCATACCCTCATAATGTAAATCTCCCTTCAACTATCGTGTTTGCCTGCACGATTTCTCATATTTGATTGGATGTATTTGCTCTCACTCTCTCTCCCCAACATCTTTGCTGAGAGTCATGGAATCATATAATGTCAAGGTTGGAAAAGACCTTTAGACTTTATTTCCTAAGGATACATAGCATCTGAGTGACCTCTGGAAGATTAGACATGCTTTACATCTGTTCTCTTACCTTTTAATAACTCTGCTCACTCAACTGTGCTGACTCAACATCTCTTTGTCCTGATGGCTCTTCATCTACTCTCCACTGAACTTCTCCTCCTCCTTTGTCTTTCTTTTCATGAAGAACAATTTGAGCTATTTCTGATTTTCTCTCTTATTCTCAATATGTCACCTCATTCCTTATCCATATGTGAAGGCTTTTTTAGGTACATAGACTCCTGATGATTCTGTTTCCTCAATAGGATGAGAAATGAGTAAAAGCTTTCTTCTTCTTTCTTTTGGGATCAGGTGAGACTCGGATGGAAAATTCAGAGTTGCCTCCAAGGCAGGAAATTCCCAAAGGAACAGAGTCATCTGATGGGACATCAGGAGGCCTGCCTGGGGGACCAGAAGCTGGAAATGCCTGTGAAGATGCTTTAATGAAGCTAGAAGCACACTCCTCAAAGGAGGAAGGGAGCAGACGGGAAAGTGATTTCTTGGAAAGAACATGTGAGGATAAAAACAAATCTACAAAAGATGGATGTGATGAGTATAAGGATCTTGGGGAACATAAGAATCTGTCCTGTAATCCTACAGAACATCAAGTTTTGAAGGCACAGAAATTATATCAATGTGATGAATGTGGCAAAGCTTTCAATTGGAGTTCACACCTCATTGGCCATCAGAGAATCCACACTGGAGAGAAACCTTATGAGTGTAATGAGTGTGGCAAGGCCTTCAGGCAAACCTCTCAGCTCATGGTTCATCTCAGAACCCACACAGGGGAAAAGCCCTATGAATGCAGCAAGTGTGGAAAGACCTATCGACACAGCTCCCATCTCATTCAACACCAGAGACTCCATGATGGGGAGAAACCGTATAAATGTAATGAATGTGGAAAAGCTTTCAATGAGAGTTACAAACTCTATGACCACCAGAGAACCCATACTGGGGAGAAGCCTTATGAATGCAATGAATGTGGAGCAACCTTTACTCGGAATAAAAATCTTCTCCGACATCAGGTACTTCACACTGGGAAGAAACCCTTCAAGTGCAGCGAGTGTGGGAAAGCTTTCAGTTCTAATAGAGATCTTATTGACCACCAGAGAATTCACACAGGGGAGAAGCCTTATGAGTGCAATGAGTGTGACAAGGCCTTCACTCGGAATAAAAGTCTGATTCGACATCAGCGACTCCACACTGGAGAAAAACCATACAAATGCAGGGAGTGTGGGAAAGGCTTCAATCAGAACTCTCACCTTGCTGACCATGAGCGAATTCACACTGGAGAAAAACCTTTTGCGTGTAATGAGTGTGGTAAGGCATTCAGCCTGAGTAAGTGTCTGATTCGACATCAGAGACTTCACACAGGTGAAAAGCCCTATAAATGCAATGAGTGTGGAAAATCCTTCAATCAAAATTCATACCTCATTATACATCAGAGAATTCACACTGGGGAGAAACCTTATGAATGTAATAAATGTGGGAAGATCTTCAGTCATAATTCTAGCCTTATGGTACATCAAAGAACCCATACTGGGGAGAAACCCTATAAATGTGATGATTGTGGGAAAACCTTTAGTGACAGCTCACAGCTCACTGTGCACCAGAGAGTTCACACTGGCGAGAAACCCTATGAATGTATTGAGTGTGGAAAAGCGTTCAGTCAGCGTTCCACTTTTAATCACCACCAGCGAACTCATTCTAGAAAGAAGCTCTCAGGTCTGGCTCAGTTTCATAAGGTGTAAGTTTCCAAGGTAGCCAGGAACATTGAATTAAGCTTTCTGTATAAGAAGGATGCTTATCCTGACCCTTTCTTGAAACCACTAATCAAAGTGGACCATTCCCTACATGCTGTCTGCTAGGTCATGAAGGTGGAGAGTGGGAGGAACAGTGCAGTCCTTCCCCACTATTGGGGAAGTACGGACTACACGTTTACTGTACTTGCAGGGTTTTTATTTTATTTTATTTTCTGTTTATAAATGTATGTCAGTTTTTGTTTTTTTTTGACATGCATCCTGTAATCAGATTGTGTACTTCTCAGGGACAGAGGTTAAATCTTCCTTATTCTATTTTACTTTCATTTCCCAATTTACATAAAGTCATTCTCTAAGACTGATTCACTCCTTTCTCCATTTCTAATTTTTACGAGTTTATTTGAGCCAAACTGACATGACTGAAGTAAGGTGCAAATGCCCCTCTCTCTTTTTTCTCTTTGCTGTAGCTCTTTTAAAATTCATCACTAGTTAAAAAATAATTTTTAAAATCTCAACTCTCTAATTGCACCCTTCATAAAGTGGGCATGAACTTTCCTCCCACCACTGGACCAACATTTTATAGGATATCACATGCAAAAAGCTCATTTATATGTTCTACATGTGCCCCTGTTTTTTAATTTTTATTTTTAATTTCATAAAAATTTTTTTAAATATATTTTATTGATTTATTACAGAGAGGAAGGGAGAGAGATAGCTAGAAACATCAATGAGAGAGAAACATCGATCAGCCGCCTTCTGCACATCTCTCACTGGGGATGTGCCCGCAACCCAGGTACATGCCCCTGACCGGAATCGAACCCGGGACCTTTCAGTCCATAGGCCGACGCTCCATCCACCGAGCCAAACCGGTTTCGGCCATAAAAATTTATTTGAACCGGAATTTTGAGGACATGCTTGGTACCCCTGAGAGTCTTACTACTATTATCTCAGGCTCAAAGAGCTAATGGATTTCTGCTTGAGTGTGCCGTGTGTGTGTGTGTGTGTGTGTGTGTGTCTGTATGTGTATCTAGGTTTTGGAGTCTACCGATGCGTACTTTTTCCTGTACACTGACTCCAGTTCTGACCTACCTGGCTCCACCTGATGCCTAAATAAACAAGAATGCTTCAAAACTTACTGCAGGAAGACCTAACTTTCCTGGCTTTGGCAAAGATGATTCAAAATCCCATTTAGAAGCATTCTTGAAAGCTTGTAATTCATAGTGATCTAGTTTGTTGCAGATAATAGAGTTTAATGAATCTGATTTCCTTATCAACTAGTTCTGTCTTTTTCAACTGTCATCTAATTTCAAGCTGAGAATTGTTTCCTTAATTATTGTTATTATCTTCTGGACCATCTTACATTCCCAAGGGCAAAAGAAACAGGAAATCTTTTCAGAGGATATTCTCTCCCTTTATAGTCATATATAAGACTAACCCCTGGACCGCTGGGGCTGGACCCCAGCAGATATTCTCTCCCTTTATAGTCATATATAAGACATAATCTCGAGCAACTTTTTTCTTCCTTGGGGCGGGGCCCCACTACCGGGGGACCTTTGCATTGGGTGTTCACCCCCTTCCTCTTAGCAGGAAAAAAGGATTGGCAGCGTGACAAAGGAGGAGAAGGAAGTTAGGGGTACAATGTTAGGTATGTAGCCTAGAGGGAAGAGGTTTTTGTGAGCTCCGATTTATGACTCAGAGACAATGGAGAAGAAAGGGAAGAGAGTAGAAGCTCAAGAAAATAAGAATTAAATGTGATTCTGGGGGAGGTATCTCAGATAAGGTTAGAAAGAATGTTTATTGGGGGCTTTTAAAAAAGAGAAATGTGAAGCTAGCTTATTTGGCATGCTAAATTACATGGGAAGCATTGTCTAAAAAATGATAATAAGCCTTAGGTTATATGTGTATGGATAAATGTTACTAATATAGGTAATCTTTTAATTGAAGTTCATATAAATTTGTCAATATTGTCATTGTCTAGTTGTTAATTTATTGTATGCCACAAAATAATTAAATTTTCTTATAAATGAACTCATAGTTTTAACCATGTCCATTTTTGAAAGTCTTTTAGTCATTTACAAACAATTACTGTTTACTCTGGTTCTTTTGCAAAAGTGCTTAATCTTCAGAGAGATAAGGAAAAGGACTCTGATAGTCTAGAATACAGGTTTCTGATTACTTTAAGATCACTTTAACTAAACTGGGTAAGAATTTCCAGAATTCTAATGGAAAAATCAGATTTAAGCAGAATAAGAACAAAGAACATAAGATTAAATGAACTGATAAGAATGATTGTAATTTTTATGACTTTTTGTTTGAAACATGCAAGTTCTTTAATGTTTTGTTTTTTAGATTCAAGAAAATCTTTTTCTTTTTTCTCTTAAGCTATAAATAAATTTGGTAAATTATATCTTTGAAAATAGAACTAAAACATTTATGTTTTTGCCCTGGCCAATGTAGCTCAGTTGATTGAGCATCAACCAGAAAGGTTGCTGGTTCGACTCCTGGTCAGCACACATGCCCAGGTTGTGGGTTCAATTCCTGGTTGGGGTATGTGTAGGAGGCAACTAATCGATGTTTCTCACATCGATGTTTCTTTCTTTCCCTCTCTATTCCTCTCTCTCTCTAATCAATTTAAAAACATAAAAAAAACATTTTATGTTGCCTGGCTGGTGTATCTCAGTGACTGAGCATCGACCTATGAACCAGGAGGTCATGGTTTGATTTCTGGTCAGGGCACATGCCCGGGTTGTAGGCTCGATCCCCAGTATGGGGCATGCAGGAAGCAGCCAACCAATGATTCTCTCTCATCATTGATGTTTCTCTCTCTCTCTCTCTCTTCCTTCCTTTATAAAAAAATAATAAAATAAAACCTTCAAGTTTAATGAGTTTCACAATCAGACAAGAATAGCTTAAACATGATGGTAACTAAGAATGATACTAATATCGAGTTTTTAGTAACTATCTGATGTATGAGAAGATAACATAAAGGGAGAATTGTCAAAGTAATGACAGAGGTCATTAGACTGAGGTGGTGCTAATACTTTGGTGGCCTACCTAAGCAAATTGAAAGCTAAGCTAAAGTCAATTCCTGTGAATGCCTCCAGGTTAAGAAAAACAATCAGAACAGCCAACTGGGCTTTCCCAAATAATGTAACCATGTTCAGGCGACATCACTCAGTGGTTAAGCATTGACCCATGAACCAGGAGGTCACAGTTTGATTCCCGGCCAGGGCACATGCCCGGCTTGCTAACTCCATCCCCAGTAGGGGGCGTGCAGGAGGCAGCCAATCAATGATTCTCATCATCGATGTTTCTATTTCTCCCTCTCCTTTCCTCTCTGAAACCAATAAAAATATTTTTAAAAATAATGCAACCTACTTAAGCTATAGCCAATCGAATAATTTGCCTTGCTTCCTCACTTCTATAAAAACCTTGTCCCTAGCTTCTGTTGATGGTGTTCCTAACCAATTCCAGTTTGGCACTACCTGACTTGAATTGATGTTTGCTCAATTAAACATATAAACTCAAAAAATTAAATGTGCCTCAATTGTTCTTTCAACAGTACATAGTGGTGGTGGTATTAAAGGGACATGGAAGCCATTGTGTCATCATGTACTACTAGTAGAAATACACTTTGTATTTTAGTGGGAAATCTGGTACTTGGAGAATGGCATGAATACTCAATTTGGACATGTAAAGGTAAGAATCAGAATTGGTCCCTGCAGTCCAGGATCTCTCAAGTCAGCAAAGGACATAAGGTCTCTAAAAACATGCCTGGTACAGGGTGAACGTAAGAAGTGTCACATGTTCTCATACTCTCTGGGACTCCGATAGGTAAAGGGACAGCAAATAAATGACCTTTTTGCTACTATTCTCTTACTTTCTGAAATTGCTGTCATCAGAATCAAGGCTCATACCAAGTGGATTGAAACTGAGCATCAGGAAAATGCCTTGGCTGATTTTCATGCATAGGCAGCAGCAGCAGCAGCAGAAACTGTAAGGGTTGTGGCATATGTAAATGAAGTCCTATCTGCTTTTGAAAAAATGATCCCTTGTTGTCCAACTTTGCTTTTTGTCATCCTGAGGTCCTTGCAACACAGCAACAGTCATCTCCTGAATCAGAGAAAACAACAGACAAACTGGTTGTAAATTGAGTCAGGGCTATGGGAAATTAAATATGGCCGCTTGGTTCTTCCAAGCTTCCCAGCAAACCCCATCTACTGGTTTTTCCATTCATTAACCCACAATGGTGCAGCTAAGATGTCTCAAATAATAAGTAAATATTCGTGTGGAGACTGCTATAAAATTGTGAAAAACGGCCACCTTTCATGTTCATAATCCAGAGCCTCAAACCTCCTCCCAGTGGACCATTTGAGTACCTGCAACTGGACATCATTTCATCTGCCTCCTAGTATGGGTCACCAATATATTCTTTATTTTTTCTGTATCTGTGAAGCCTCCTTCCCTTGCCGCAAGACTGCCCCCCCAACACAGTGGCAAAGAAACTGTTGAAAAATGTGTTTCCTAATTGGGGTTTACCCTCCACAATATCTAGTGACTGAAGCACCCACTTCACTGGGAGAATCATAGGAGCTTTAACTAAAACCTTACAAAGTTCTTGTAATCATCCCTGCTCCTTCTCACCCTCAATCATCAGGCAAGGTTGTAAGAACAAAGGGAATTCTTAAGCTCGAAATCTCTAAACTCACTGAAACTACTCAACTTCCTTGGCCTCAGGTATTGCCTCTGGCCTTTCTGACTGTTAGAGAGCAAGATCTAAATTTTAGCCCGGCTGGCATGGGTGGATGGTTGAGCGTCTACCTATGAACCAGAAGGTTGCTGGTTGGATTCCTGGTCAGGGCACATGCCTAGGTCGCAGGCTCGATCACAGTAGGGGGCATGCAGGAAGCAGCCAATCAGTGATTCTCTCTCATCATTGATGTTTCTATTTCTCTCACCCTCTCCCTTCATCTCTGAAATCAATAAAAGTATATTTAAAACAAAAATATTTAAATTTAAAAATTTGTGATTCATAAATTGGACAGCTTCCAGGCTAGCTGATAGGAGCTCTGAAACGTATGAGGCAAAGGATTCTATAGGCAGAAGGGAGCAGAACCAAGGAAGTTATACTAGGCAGAAAGGTGGAGTGATTATTGCAAGCTTCCTTTCCCATATCAGATGGATGGCAGGTATTTATCGGGCTGATTACCTAAATAATGGAATTCCTGGTTGATTTACGATTTCCTTTTGGGGAGACAGCAGAACTGTAAGTTAAGTGTCTATTTGGTGACAATGGGCTTAGCATCAGCAACTCCATTTGGTGTCTGTTGTCTTTAAGAAGTTATTCAAGAACTTCCTGATCAGCATTAATTACTTAGCCCCTGCTATCGCCTATACGATTTTAAAAATTTACTCAGTTGAGTTTTGTTCTTTAACAGGAGAAAACAGCTGGAGGTCTGGGGAGGTAAGTTTCGCGTGCCTGTGGCTGGGAATAAAAAAGCACTTCTACCCCCGCTTGTGGTGGTGACGGGGGAAGAGGCTGGTCCTGGAAACTAACATCTGGTTCCCCTCATTGAAGGCGGCCCCAGGGTGTAATGAGTGATCCCTTATCTCCTTCCTGCCAGGACCCGTCAGCGTCAGCGGTCAGCTAGATCTCTCTGGTCCCTATTTTGACCCCTAGCTTTGGATCCTATTATTCCCCGGGGGAGGGGGGAGGCAGGGGGTAAGAGGCCCCAAGGGAAGACCTGCACATATACTGGGAGGGGAGTGTGTCTTAGTAACAAATTAATTTATAGAAAATTATTTTTGTGTGTGAAATATTAAAGAGTAATATTAAAGAGCACAGGGAATGACCGCTCTGGCCAAGCCCTAGCTGCACCACACAGATAAGACCATAGCTGAATGCTACCCCTAGGAATGACGACGTAGGTAAACCTGATAGACACTGATAACCAGGTTCTCTGATTCGCACTTGTGTGATGACGTATGTTACTGAGAGACACCGGGACTGCCGTGGGCCAGCACAGGCTTAAAAAACGGGTCTCCGACTTCAGACATCGATCGTCCTCTTGCTCCACGCTCCACGCTGCCTTGCTCCACGCCCGAGGACAGAAGAACGGCCGGGCCTCTGATCCGGAGACAGAGTGGGAACACGGGCCAAGGCTGATAGAGCTGTGGGCCCGGATGGCATGGGGGAGTGGAGGGCAGGGGTGGTGCGAGGGTAGCGGCGAGTGTTGGGGATGAGCCCCGCCCCCCCATGACTTAGACCATCACGGGCCAGCGCTGCGCTGGAACCGGGAGAAGCCGAGACGTTGGCCCTCCAGGTTCCTAGAGAGGCCGCCGAGGCCCGAGGCTGTGACGCGCTTGCGCGACCAGATGGGCGTGGTCCTGGACCCGGTGCCCGCAGCGCCGAGGGCGGATCTGGGAGCGCTTCGCCGCCCGGGGCGCCCCGCCCGGAGGAGACCATTTGGAGGAATGGTTTCCGCGCTTTCTCTCCTCTCCTAATCGTGCGAACAAAGCTGCTCATTGCCGACGGCTAGGGACGCGGGTGAGTGGCCGAAAAGTAAAAGGAACTGCAATCTGGCGATGTTTTCGTCGGGAAGCTTCCTGATATTGAAAATTTTACGCATTGTTATGCAAACTCATAAGCATGCATTATGAAATGGGGTCCTACTATTGCTTTTAAAATCTTACTGCGATCAAACAATGCCATGATGAAATAGACATAGCATTTACCAAATGATAACATAAACATTTACTGTTTTCACCATTTAAAAATGTATAATCGGTGCCATTAAGTACATTCATACTGTTGCTTATTGGAAAACTGTATCTCCCATTGGGGTCATGCAGTTCATATACTTGATTTTGGAGCTAGCATTATGGTACCACTAAAACGTGTTTCCAAGTAGAATTAAAAGAAAACATTTTGTTTGCTATTTCCTTCCCCATAGTACACAGTGCCCGAGGCTGTAAATAGAAACATTTTGTTTGTTAGAATTGTCTACAGAATGAAAGAGTTGTATGTAAAATGCAGTTTGTTAAGCGGGAGGTGCATCTCTAACCTAAGGCCGGGGGTTCTGTCCTCTGACCTGCATAGGCCTAGGAAGTCAAGGTGTCCTCAGTTAAAAGGGGTGGCCAGGAAAGAGCATCCGGTTTCAAACTGCTTGTGGTTCAAAAGTGAAGACTCATTCCTATCAGTCGGTTGTTTTACAAGGAGTGTTTTTAGCTGTTTTTTGATTAAAGGTTTCAGGGAATTTCCATCTGTTAATACACACAAGTACATCTGTGAGGGACTGACCACCAGGCTGCTCTCTCACATGTTATGTTAAAGCTGAAGATATCAGACAAATTTTGGTTAAAAAAGTAATCCTTTCCCTGACCAGTTTGGCTCAGTGGCTAGAGTGTCGGCCTGCAGACTGAAAGGTCCCGGGTTCAATTCCGGTCAAGGGCATGTACCTGGGTTGCAGGCACATCCCCAGGAGATGTGCAGGAGGCAGCTGATCGATGTTTCTCTCTCATCGATGTTTCTAACTCTCTATCTCTCTCCCTTCCTCTCTGTAAAAAATCAATAAAATATATTTAAAAAAAATAAATACGTTCCGGGAGGGAAAGCTTTCTTTAGTGGCGATTATTGAGAAACTTGTTTGCTTATTTTCTGTGTATAGCATAAACCTATGTACTCTCATATGGGTAAGAAAAACTTGAGAGTGAGAGACTACTTAATCAGGATTTTTAAAGGAAAAAAAACAAAATTACATTCCATCTGAGTTGAAGGAGCAAAATGACAAAAAGAAGAAAATGTCCCTGAAAAATGGCAAGACGACGGCTTGGGATTTCCCCTGTACTTTTCAAAGCCATTTCTGTTCATTGTCGGGACTGGGTGGGTTAAGGTGTAACTCTTGTTGAGAAGGGCCTGACCCAGCTCAGGTTGCTTCCTAGGCCCTGGGGGCTCACATCTGTGGTCGAAGGTTAACACGTTGATGAATGAAGCTTGTCCGCTGTCCTCAGAGGCCAGTTGGGACATGAGTCATCCTGGGGCATTAGGATACCTGAATTTCACTGCGCAGGTTCAGTTCACTGGCCCCCGTAGCTTCCTGTGCTCTGGGTCTTTCATTCAGAGTTTGAAAGGCATCCACTCCTGGGCCTTTTATCTTTAGCTTTATCCAAGCTCATGGTTGTGGAAGCTGCTCCCCCCACCCCCTTTCTTTGAAGACCTGGAGTCCTTTGCCATATTATCAGGCAGTCACCGTCACTTTCCTGTTTGTCAGTTTTCTCACCAGCTATTTACAAACACTTCACTATCTCTTTGGACATTTCCGCACAGCTCCTTTAGAATATGCCAGCTTGGAGGCTTATTTTTGGTGCTAATTTCACTGTGGGTCTCTATTCCCTGAGTTAGGTCATTTCCATGTATACTTCCTACTGGTTGCATTTCTTCAAAATATTTGTCTGGCCTCAAGTTCATTGTCTTTTTAGCCTAACTACCAGGTTTCTCTTCACCCTCAGCCTCACTCTTGGTGTTTTCATTCTTGAGTTTTCTTGCTCTCTCCAGTCTGTTCTGCTAGATTGGCTGGGAAAGCCACTCTCCTCCTCCTTTCTCTGACCTCCAGCTTCCTCTGAGCGGCCTTTCCGCTTCCTGATTGTGCTGCGGGAGCTGGAGCCTGCCCCTCTGGCTCCTGAGGCGCCCTTCCCTCCCTGCCCTCCTTTGCTATGGTGTCTTCAGGTCTCCTTTTCTAGGCCTTCAGTTATTAATTTATTTCTCTTGTTTTCTCCAAATACTTCTTACCCTGTCCCATCCCTCTTTTTCCAAAGCAAGGCTTCATTTCTTTTCTGCTGAAACTTCAGCAGCCTCCTCAGCTCACATGACCCTAATGTCGTTTTTTACCTGAATTGCTGCCCTGGAGCAGGGCTGGAATTTCTCCTAGTAGCTGGATGATGGCATTCTTTCTGGGTGAGTGTTCTTCCTGTCTCAGTGACAGTAAGTTCTTATGGGCCTAGCAGTGTTACAGCAGAAATTTGGTCAGAGGGAAGAGACAAACTGCACGCTCTCGGAAGGTCAGAAAAGTCCATTGTATTCCGCATCGGTGCTGGCCCAGCAGAGTCACCTCCAGAGGCTGAGCACAACCTCGTGGCCCACAGTTCTTTCCAAGTGCACAAATTCGTGCACTGGGCCCCTAGTCTTCTATAATAATAAAAGGGCAATATGCTAATTAGATCGGACATCCTTCCTGACGAAGCCAGGGCCAGAGGGAAGCCAGCCTGGGTCCCAGGTGCCTGAGGGCGGCCCGATTGAAGCCAGACCGGGTCCTGGGTGCCTGCGGGCGGCCAGGGGAAGGAAGCATCCTGAGTCCCGAGTGCCTGCTGGCAGCTGGAGGAGGGAAGCCTGGGTCCCAGGTGCTGGAGGGACCCGGGCTGCTGGAGGGAAGCTGATGCTGGCAGCTGGGGGAAGGAAGGCCTACTCTTGCACGAATTTTCATGCATTGGGCCTCTAGTTGTTTTATAATGAATGTAGGGGAGGAAGGCTTTGTTTTAGTATCATGGGTGAAGGTAGTGGTTTCTTTCTTTCTCTCTTCCTTTCTGTTAGGGAAAAAATGGGGGGGAGGGGACAACAGTAATTTTCATAATTCACAGAAGTTAGCCCGGAAGAGAAGGCTGCGTCCTTGCCACTGGCTGCTGTGGGAAGTGGTTTCTTTAAATTTGCTAACGGTGGTAAGGGATGGAGGGTGCCACGGTTTCAGGGGCGACGACCATCACCTGAGTCTTGGTGACTTTGCTTCTGGTGCCAAGGCCTGCTGTCCATCTCAAACTTTGTAGATTTTTGTTTTAACTCTTTTTTTTTTTTCTTAAAAAATGTCATTTGTATTGAGGTAGCATTGGCTTATAACACTGTGTTTCAGGTGTGCAGCATTATAAAATGACATCTGTATGTAGTACATCATGCTCACCACCGGAATCTAGTTTCTGCCTGCCACCAAGGATTGACCGGTCTTACTTGTTTCCCCTCCCCCTGCACTCCCCCTCCTCTCTGGTAACCGCCAATCTGTTATCTGTCTGAGTTTGTTTGTTCTTTTGCTTGTTGGGTTTGGGGGCAGCATGTTCCTTTTTTTCCTTCTCTGCCTCACTTCCCAGTATTTGTCTTACATTGTTCTCTTTGTTCAGCCAGCCTGGTCTGATTTGGTTGCTGACTGAGTGGCTAGAACAGAGCTAAGGTCACCGGGATTTTTCCTCTTTTTCCAGTCGCCTGAGCACAGCCACTGTTCGCACACAAGTTCCCTTCAAGAACGCGATGCCCCTTCTCCTCGGGGCCTTCTCTTCAGTCCGGGGAGGCATTACTTGGTGGCTTTGTTTTTTAAGCAGAATTATCATTGATTATAATGATTGATCACTACTCATTATAAGAGCAGTGCCTAACAACGCAGGAGACAAACAAACAGGAGGGGAGAGCCCACTCATTCTGCCTCCTGAGGAGATGATGGCTGAGGACGCTGGTGCTGAGGCTTAGGAACTTGTGCATATGCAAACTGCTTTAGTTTTGTTCATCTCACGACTAAATGAGTTCGTAACTATAATTCCTAAAAGTTTGGATTTTGTCAGATACTTTTCTGTGCCTATTGACAGCATCATGTGATACTTGTTTTTTGTTCTACTGATACATTAAATTATTTTGATTACTTTAATCTTGCATTCCTAAGATAAAGTCATAGGATATAATTTTTCTTAGATGTGGCTGGATTCAGTTTGCTAGTATTTTGTTGAGAATTTTTGCATTTATATTCATAAAAGAGATTGATCTGTTTGGTTTTGGAATCAGGTAACACTGGCCTCGTAGAATGAATTGGGAAATGTTTTCTCCTGTTCTATTTTTTGAAGAGTTTGTGAAGAATTGATATTATTTTTCTTTAAATATTTGGTGGACTTCAGCAGTGATGCCTCTGGGCCTCGGCTTCTCTGTGCGGGTAGTTTGTGACGACTAGTTCAGTCTCTTCACTTCCTACAGATCTAGTCAAAACTGGTGTTTCTTCTCGAGCCAATTTTATCAGTTTGTGTTTTATAATAGTTTGTTAATTTCATCTAAAATATTTGTTTGCAAAAATATATTTTAAAATCTTTTTATTTTTGTAAAGTCAGTAATATGTTTCCTCTTTCACTTCTGATTTATGTAATTTGAGTCTTTTTCTTTGTCAGGCTAGCTTACGATTTATCAATGTTGTTCTTTTTCCAGTGTCTTAAAGTGAAAAGTTAGGTTATTGAGTTGAGATCCTTCTTAATGGGAGTATATCTGATAAAGCCCGTACGTATTTACTGTATTCTGGGATATTTTCTCGGTTTACCCCGAAGTGTGACCATCTAGCCGTGCTGTACTTGCAGGCCCCACTGCGCAGATGCTCACATGCCCTCTTCTCATGCATCCAAGATGATCTGAACTAACAGGATCAAGCTCCACCGTCCTTCTCACATGCCTCCTGGGCACTAATATTGGTTATTTCATTCTCTTGCCAGTGACGTCTGATGTCCCAGCAAATGGCATTGTCTACTACGGTGCTGAAAAGATACTCCCAACGTCCCAGCGGCGGCACGGCTAACCTAGGCTTGGTTTGCACTCTGCTGTGGACACCCTAAGCAGGAGCGATGCCTCCAGGCAGGTGGTATGCTGTCCATCCAGCGCAGGCCCAGGCTTCACGGGAGCGAGAACGCCTTCAGCTGGTGAAGAAGGAAGAAGAGGATGAAGGCTACACCGCAGTGCAGGCTCCGAGGCCCCAGACACTCAACCTTCCTGGCCAGGAGCTGTTCCGCCAGCTCTTCAGACAGCTTCGCTACCACGAGTCTTCTGGGCCCCTTGAGACTCTGAGCCGGCTCCGCGAGCTCTGCCGCTGGTGGCTGAGGCCCGACGTTCTCTCCAAGGCCCAGATCCTGGAGCTGCTGGTGCTGGAGCAGTTCCTGAGCATCCTGCCCAGTGAGCTCCGGACCTGGGTGCAGCTGCACCACCCTGAGAGTGGCGGGAAGGCTGCGGCCCTGCTGGAAGAGCTGCAGAGAGACTTCAATGGGACACCATGGACGGTGAGTTGAGCAAGTGTGCAATGCCCAGTGAACTCTGCCTGCCAGTGAGCCAGCTTGTTTGGGGGTAGGGTTGGCCTCGGAACCTTCAGCCCTGAGGAATGCAGGGGAAGTCTTCCCTTCTCAGTCCCGTGGCACGTGAGCAGCTGAGAACTATACCCTAAGCCAAGGACCTTATAGCAGGCAGCCCTTCCCGCCTTCCCAAAGACGATCAGCTGCAGGAAGAGTATCCATAAAACAGGAACATGTTTTTGGACACAGTGACTTAGAGTATACAGAGTCCATCTCCACCTACTGTCTAATTGCTGACCTGTTAAGTGGGGGTGATGTCTCTTGCTTGTAAGGAGAGGAGTAGAGTCTGGACTCGTGGCCTCTGAGGACATGTTAAGATTGGAAGAGCAGCCTGCCTGTGCCATAAGCCTTTGAGGGTTGGTGCTGTGCAGGGAGAAGGCATCCCAACCTCAGTGTTCTTGCCCACTTTGTTGTTCCTTTCAGAGCCTCAGTTTATTGAAAAGAAAATGCCAAACTGATCTAAGAGTGAGAAGTTGCTCGGTATGTATTTGCCTATCATGTGCTTGGCCCAGGCCTTGGTGCTGGATGTGGGACTGCCAGTCCCAGTGCCGGTGCTAGAGCCGCAGGTCAGTTCAAGTGCACTCCGCCTCTCAGCGCTTCCTACGTCTTTGGATGCTTTTAAAATAGCATTTATCATTTTTGTAGGCTTCTTTAAAATTATTACTTCTATAAAAATATGTGTTTCTATAAAAATATGTTATATCCAAAAATATATATGATTCATGCATAAATAAAAGTTACTTTCAAGATTTCTGACACATATTTGACATACTTCTCCCCCAAATTTAATATAAAGTTAGACCAGTGAACTAACACATCTGAACATAGTCTGACAGCCGTAAGTGGTAATACAGCAGCACAAGGGGTGACTATTACAAAAGGAAACCTCTTTGCTCAACATTGGGTCCTGTTTTTAAAAAACCTAAAAGAGCAGTTATTCTTTTTACTAAAATAATGAGATCAAAAAGATCTAAAAAGTGATTTATTAGAGCAAATAAGGTACACCTCAGCTATAAAATTGTGGCTTGGTTGTATGCAACTCATTTAGGTCTAGATGTGAGGTTTTACAATCCATGAAAACATTGCCAAATGAGCAGAGAGGGCCTACCTGGTCAAAAGCAGTTAGAAATTAGAAAACATAAAACAGATGGGGAGAAAGCCTCCCAGATTCTGAAAAATAACAGAAATGCTCAAGATGCATATAAAGTTACAGTGTCACTCTGGGGTTCATCCAGATGACCAAAATGTGAGAAACCTAAGGGGAGGGGTAAGCGGGAGGTGCGTCCTGCAAAAGTTTATCCTCCAACTCATTTGGCTGTGCTTCCGTAGTCTTCCTGTTTCTTTATCCTCCCTTTGCGGGGTTCTGGAGGACTAGGAGACAAATTACTGTGATGAGTTGATCATCTTTCGTCTGTAGATCAGTATCAGATGTTTCATGGCCTCAGCTCAAGTTCCGTCAGTGTCAGTGTAGAGAATGTGTTGGCCCCAGGGCCCGAAAACTTGAGGTTCACTGTCTGTAGTTTTCTGTTCTCATTTTTACACCAGGGACAGCCTTGCCTCAGACACCAGAGCTACTTGAAGGTCAAGGCATTCTACTCGGGTGGGCACTGTCATTGTTTGCACCTGAGACTTTTCCTTCTGCGGTGCCATGGCTGCCCCTCACAATTAGCTTTGCCTCTCTGTCATTGTTACTACTTCCTCAGGTTTACAGGCTGGGAGTCCTGCCCCTTTGGGGTCCCTTTGCATATGGGCGCCTAAAGCAGTGCCCTATACTTGGTAGAGATTATGCATCTGCAGCTCTCCTGTGAGTCATTATCAGTTCAACTCACAGGGATACATGTCTTTCGTTTCTAAGTTCCAGGCCAGGGGTGGGGGCTGAGGGCTAGTGGGGAGGGTGTCCTGCAGCACCTGCAGCCTGACCACAGAGCTGTTCCTGACTTGCCAGCTACTTTCTTTTCCCTTTTTTTATATCTTTATTGTTGAGAGTATTACAGATACGCCCTCCCCCTTAGAGTCCCCCAACCAGCAGCTTTCTGGGTCCACCTGTCACCCCCGGCCCACCTTAGAGCCCAGGGAGGGTGAGGGGTGAGGGGTCCTCCCTGGGCTTTCTCCTCCTTTCCCCTCTGCCTGCAGGTGGTAAAGGGCCCAGCTCACCGGCCTCTGGGCTCTGAGACTGGCCGAGTTGCTTTCTAATCCCCGTGGGGATCCTCTCCCGTTTTCTTCTTGCCAGGACCCAGCCCCTGCCCAGAGCCCAGATGTACAATGGATGGGTACGGGAGCCCTGCGAGCCGCACAGAAATGGCCCTCTGCTTCACCTCCCAGGAGCGGCTCTGCTCCGGGGGACCACCTGGAGCCTCCCTATGAAATAGGAGTGCGTGACTTCCTGGCTGGGCAATCCGGTACTCACCGCCTGGCACTCAGACCCCACCTCGCCCTCAGCCACACTTCCCACATTTCCTGTCATGTCATCTTTTCACCACCTGCCCTCTCACGACAGTCTCTTCCTATCCTGGCCCTTAGCTCTGTGTCTTTTTTTTTCTTTCTTCTTTGTGTTATTGCTGTTTTGTTGGTTTCTTAATCGTTAGCTCTGTGTCTTTCCTACCTCATCTGTGACCCATGTTAGCCTGGCTCCTCCTCCCGTTGTATGCCCTGCCCTCACTTCCATTCCCTGGCCTCCAGCAAACACTGGGGAAACGTGAAATGGGTTACAGCAGTCCATGCCTGCTCGTGGGGGGAAGGGTGGGCTGCCCTGTCTCATGGCTCTTTCTTCTTCAGATCCTCCTGCTGCCCAGGTGCCTGCCCTTCCCCAGGAAGAGGGCTGCCCTGGAGATGGGGCGACAGCCCAGCCTCAGGTGAGCCACAGGACCAGCTGTCCTTCGTGACGTCCCAGTGTTGCTGCCTGACAGAATAGCTGCAGCTCCCCCTCGTCCTGCCTCTGTCCAGTGACCGCAGATCCAGAGGCCCGCAGACTAGACTCTCCCCCAGAGCCCAGGGCTCTTCTGCTGGGTGATGGTCTTCTCTTTCACCCTGACCAGTCCACCCTGTTCTCACTCAGAGCAGCCCATTCCCCTGCCTCTCCCTGACAGCCAGGGTCTGTGGACTGGCTCTAAGGCAGTGGTTCTAACCTTCTGGCCCTTTAAATACAGTTTCTCATGTGGTGACCCAACCATAAAATTATTTTCATTGCTACTTCATAACTGTAATGTTGCTGCTGTTATGAATCGTCATGTAAATATCTGATATGCAGGATGGTCTTAGGCGACCCCTGTGAAAGGGTCGTTCGACCGCCAAAGGGGTCGTGACCCACACGTTGAGAATCGCTGCCCTAAGGTCTCGTTCTGTTTCTTAGGAGGCTCTGACCTTCAAGGACGTGGAGGTGACCTTCTCCCAGGATGAGTGGGCCTGGCTGAACCCTGCTCAGCGGAACCTCTACAGGGATGTGATGCTGGAGAACTATGGGAGCTTGGCTTCTCTGGGTAAGGCATCGCTGTCCCCATGCTCTGCCCACCTTTACGGCTGCCTTCTTAGTCTTCATTATGGCGCATCCGAAGGGGCCTGACCTGGGTGTACGTCCAGCTCTGTAACTGCTAACCAGGTCACTGAATCTGTCATCCAGTCTTTCCTCTTGAAAAACAGGATAAGAATGCCTGGTATGCTGGGTTACTGTAAAGACGAAGTCATACGTGTCAAGTTCCTAATCCATTTAGGCATCTGCAATAGGTTAGCTGATTTAATTGATTGAATTGCTCTGTGGTTCCTATCTCCAGAGAACCCTGGTGATGCTTTTAGCTATGATTTCTCTCAGCCTCTCTTGTCTCTGCTCAGGGCTGTTAGAGATGGCTGTCTGGGCCTTCTGCCTTAGCTTCCCCCCCGCCCCCTCCCCAACCTCTCTGGCCTCTCTCTCCTCCCGCCCACAACGCCAGGCGTGCGAGGGTCCTTGAGACTAGTTCTGTGTGACTCAATCCCATCCCCTCCCCTTCTCCTCTGCAGTGGGGCCACTGGCCAAACCTGCCCTGATCTCTTGGTTGGAGGCAAGGGAGCCGTGGGGCCTGAACGTCCAGAGAGCCCAGCCTAAGGCGAAGCCAGGTGCTGCCCCGGCAGGTGAGTTCCAGAGAACCTACCAGATCCTGCTCCTCCAGCGTCTGTTCTCTTTCTTACCATCTTTCACACCAGGTCAGTCCTTGGGAACTTACTCCATTGTTTGCTAGAAGGAAAGTCCTTCATACTGTTGCTAAGGGTGCCGGGCCCTGGGCTTCTTCCCTCCAGACTGGCCTATTAGACGTTCATTCCTGGCCGTGCCCCTTTCCCAGAAGCCCTCTCAGTATCATAATTGCTCACCGGAGGGTTTCACCGTTCCTTCTTGTTTCCTGTTCATTGATGCTGCACTCCCGCTGAATCCCCAGTGCCTGCCCCTTCCTGCTCTGAGGAGCCCTCATTCCACTCCTGCTCCTCCTCTCTGCTCCGTCCTCCCCTGTGATAGGCTTGCTCTCCAGACCTTTTAGCTGGCTCTCCTCAGATCCCCACCCTCGGCCCTGTCTTGTGCTGTGGGTCCTCTCCCCTCTCTTGCTATTAACACTTGCCTCTCAACCCTTTTCTTTTTAACTGGATGTGAGTTCCGCACACGTCTAGCTCCTGTGCCCATCTTGCTTCTCCTCCCTTCCCTGTCACCTGGGACGCCCTTCCACTTTGCCTTGCTGTGACTATTTTGTAGACGTATT